ACGTAGTCATGCTATTCTGATGGTAATATTGATTGTTTTTTCTTCCAACTTTCAATGATCTTTTACGTGCTGTGAAGTGCTTGATGTATTACATGGAGTATCTCTTGTGCATTAACTTAATGCTTTATTTATTTCATGGATTTGTAATAAACTGTATGTTAATAGGTAAATTTGAGGAGGTCTGTCAAGGGAAAGGATTCGGCCGTTTCAAGCGAAAACAGTAGCAGCTTGCAGACGGTTAAAAGCCTAAAGCCTTCTGTTGTTCGCAAAGCAAAGCTAGTTGTAGTTGATCTTGCAGGTTCAGAGCGAATTCATAAATCAGGTACATTGCATGCTGAATCCTCTTCTGAGGTTAGCCACACTATGAACCTTTTCTTTTTTGCCTTAGGTTATTTATTTTAAATGTCATCCATTGTGTGGGCCATGCGGAAGTTTGTTCTTCTTAGCCATTCATTCTTCCTTTAGCTTCTCTTGGGTTACTGTTTGCATATATATGTTAATGCTCTGTCATCACGGAAGTGTGCCCCATTCATTTCATTATTGCAGGCAGTGAAGGGCATACACTTGAGGAAGCAAAATCTATAAATCTTTCTCTGAGTGCACTTGGGAAGTGCATTAATGCATTGGCAGAGAATAGTCCGCATATTCCTGTTCGTGATTCAAAGCTTACAAGGTTGCTTCGAGATTCATTTGGAGGTAGGATCTTTTTATGTGTGATTGTCAAAGCTACCGTGTAAGAGGTTCTTGCTAGCTCAAGTTGATGTGTGGTCTAGTTTGTGCCGTGGTATAACGATTGCAGTAGGGGATACTTGGTCATGCTGCTTTAATGCTTCCGACGTATTAACCAAACCAAATACAAGTGTGAGGGCTCCATAGGCCACAATATTGCCACTGCTATTCGATGTGCAGTGTTTTAGTGTTTGAGAAGAAAAATGGTCAAGGAATCTTTTAAAACCCAGCTTCATTACATTTATCCTTTGTATATTATTCTGGTTAAGAAGGGAGCTATCTAATGCTTACTGGATTTCAAAAGTCCTACACAGATGCCATTATGCAGAGAACTAGAGCCACTTTTGGATGTTGCACAGTACCCCATTTTTAACTCCAGCAACTACATGTTTCCATGACATCATTTTGGTAATTTGTTCTTAAGAATTTTGGGTCAGAGACTTTTTAAATGGAACCTCTTGTTGCTCAACTGGGCAACCTTCACCAGGTACTGCACGGACTTCTCTTGTGATCACAGTTGGTCCTTCCCCTCGTCATCGTGGCGAGACAGCAAGTACCATAATGTTTGGTCAAAGGGTAATAAAGTGGCTACTCAACTGCTTGATTTTCAGCATTATAAACATGGAAGCTGTATGCAATGAGGGTGTCATGATGTTCCCTTGTTTTGGTGTCTCTTGCAGGCAATGAAGGTTGAGAACATGCTGAAATTGAAAGAGGAATTTGATTACAAAAGCTTGTCTAGAAGATTAGATATACAGTTAGACAAACTTATTGCGGAACATGAAAGGCAGCAAAAGATATTCGAGGATGAAATCGAGAGATTAACTGCAGAAGCAGAAAGACAACTTTCTGACGCGGAAAGAAATTATGTGCAAGCATTGGAGGCAAGTTTTTCATAACAGTCAATATATCTGTTGCATTTGTGCACTCCCGTGTGACCTTCCGATCAACATGTTGTATTGCCTTTGACTTGGATCATCTCCATTGGTTCTTTACTGGCCTTGTTATGTTTTCTGTTTTCAGAAGGAACGATCAAAATATCAGAAAGAGTATTTGGAATCAATCAAAAAGCTAGAGGAGAAATGGACAATGAATCAAAGAAAAAGTGTGAATGATGAAAATAAGCTTCGACACAAAGATGTTGGTTCCAATGTCCTACCTAATGCAAAGGTAAGTTCATAGCAGGATCTTGTGGTGTGTAACTCTAAGAACTAGTATAGAATTTTGTTGCTGGCCTTTGATTCCCACCATTTACACTAGTATATGCCGTGCATTCCGTAGTCGAGGAAACCAAATGCATAATAAATGAGTTTTAAAGGCATGTTTCTTTTACCTGTGTATGTGCTTGGATCAGCAGTCTGCTGGTGTTATCTCATTGCAGTGGTTAATGAAAAGCAATTCTTGTTATAGCAGTAAAAAGAAAATTCGTACAGATGCATCGTTACTTCTCCCTTGTCATACCCACCCACATTTCAAAGCTGAATTTACGGGTGCGAGGGAATTGCATACAATGCATGATGGTTAAAATTATGGACACTGTGCAAGTTAAAGCTTTACATAAAGATGCGTTTATTACTCATTCAAACTGGATTTTCTGCCCAAAATTGTGGCGCAGCAACTCAGCTTCTTCAGTGCTTGTATTTGTATTGGTTTATAGGAATCAAAGGTTGCTCCCATTGAGGAGAATCCTGAGATGAAAAAGCTTCTGGAGAAGGAAACTGCACACAGGAAGGCTGTTGAAGAAGAAGTCTGGACTCTCAAGACTCAGTTGGCTGAATCGAGGAGGTCAGAGGTAAGTGTGGACCATTTCTGTAGCCTTACATTTTCCTTAACGATTTTGTGAAACATTCAAGCCATCCGCTTTTTTATTCCAGGCCTTACAAAGTTCCGAGATAGTAAAGCTTCGCAAGATGCTTGACGATGAAGCTCACCAAAAAGAAAAACTTGAAATGGAAATAGGAAAGCTGCAGAGTCACTTGCTTCAACTGAGTGTAGAGGCTGACGAGGTGAGATTTCGAAATAACCATAAACAGCAGATGGTTGTAGATTTTGAACTTGAACATGTTTCATATGAGATTGGATGAAATTTTCTTTTCAAAGCTTGATTGACATTTGATTCTCTTAGACAAGAAGGCAGCTTGACTCGGGTGGTTCAGAGGAAGTTCTTTCTGGTTTAGACTCTTTATTGCATCAATCCAGGCAACCACAGAGTGACAATTCAGAAACGGGAGATAAAGAGTCAGTAGCTAAACTCTTTGAGCAAGGTGATTGTCATATACCTAGCCACTTGGTATTACTTGTGTTCTTTGATAGTACTATGGATCTTCTTGACTAGTTTACTTACCAAACCATAATCTCTTTGTTTAAGTGGGACTGCACAAGATATTGTCGTTGCTTGAAGCGGAAGATGCTGATGTTCGAATACATGCAGTGAAAGTGGTCGCAAATCTTGCGGCTGAAGGTATCTTTGTCCTCTCACACTTTCTTCTCTCATCTTGAGGGATTGTTTGCTTCTTGACTAGGAATTACGGACCCAAACGACTAGGGAATACATTATTGATACATGGTAGTGCAGTAAATGACTGATTAATAACAGTCTTCATATTTTGAGTGAATTCGTTTGTTTCTTCACTATTTTAAAATGGAAACGCAAAGAATGCTTAGGACAGGTGTTCTGGTTTTTTGCTGATTCAATTCAGTGTTCATGGATTTGCTGCAATTTTTACGATACGACTCTATTTTTGTACTCATCAACCTTCGAGCTGAAATTATTAAACATGGTATCATAGAAGGAATTGCCATGTCACCAGTTTGTAATGCTGTTGTGATTTCTCTGTTAATTTATGTGCTTGTACTGATGGAGAGTTTTGCACTAATAAAAGCAGAAGCGAACCAAGAGAAGATCGTGGAAGCTGGTGGCCTAACATCTTTGTTAAAGCTTCTCATAAGTTCAGAAGACGAGACCATACACCGAGTGGCAGCAGGCGCCATCGCTAATCTTGCAATGAGTGGTAAGTTCTTCTGAATCAGAATTCTATCAAATTGTTTCTCCAGATGCCCTTTCTCCACATACTCCATTGTTAACACTTTTGAGCTTTTTACAAGCAGAAACCAACCAGGAGTTGATAATGGCTCAAGGTGGCGTCCGCTTGTTATCAAATACCGCTTCCAGTGCAGAGGATCCTCAAACACTTCGCATGGTAGCTGGAGCCATCGCCAACCTTTGTGGCAACGGTAAAAAGATCTGCTCTGGCTTTCTGAATAGTGGTAATTTTTTGGGTTCTTTTATTTGAACTTGTTGCACTATTATGTTTGATGATCCAGATAAATTGCAAATGAAGTTGAGAGGTGAAGGTGGTATCAAGGCCTTGCTTGGAATGGTGAGATGCCGGCATCCAGATGTTCTTTCACAAGTTGCCAGGGGTATTGCTAATTTCGCCAAATGTGAATCAAGGGCATCTGCTCAAGGTAATGAACTTTGCAAGGATACTTCACACTCTGTTGTATAGCAGTATATTGTGAAACCATATCTTGTAGAAGGCTGCCTATGTAATTAATTCACATGTCGTAGCAGGAGTCAAGGCAGGAAGATCCCTTCTGATAGAAGACGGAGCACTTCCATGGATCGTACAAAATGCTAACAACGAAGCCGCTTCAGTTAGGCGCCACATCGAACTTGCATTGTGTCACTTAGCACAGCATGGTAAGTGTCAAACACATTTTTCTTTCATTTCCCCGATCTTCAGCACAGATCAGTGTTATGGAGATTTAAATATGTTGGAAACTGGATTGTTTACAGAAGCGAATGCAAGAGACATGATCAATGGAGGTGCTGTTTGGGAAATGGTTCGCATCTCGCGAGACTGTCCCCGGGAAGACATAAGGTCTCTTGCCCATAGAACCCTAACCAGCAGTCACAGTTTTCAAGCAGAAATGAGGCGGCTAGGTTAGGCTTTTATTTATTTACTTTTGCTGTTGTTGGTCTTCTTAGGTCTTGAATGGACATGCAGATGATTTCATTTAAGCATATAGGAAAGCTCCTTGCTTGCTTTTTCTTATAGTTTTCTTGTTATTTGTTTAAGAAATCTCATGTACCTAGAGTGAACAGTCCAGTTTGTGCATAGTAAGAACGTTAGTGTGGCTTTTTGTATATGGGTGTAGTATTAGGTTCTACTTTCATGGAAGATATGAGAAAAGGGTTTATCTCTGGTGTGAACTACTCAATTGTAGTATCTGGATTACTCTTGGTCTTGGCTTTAGTTATAATCACCTCTTGCCCATTTCTCCCTACAATCCTCCGAATTCAATCATTGTGCGAGGAAAATGAAACCTAGTTAAATACCAGTAACCTGCTAGTTCAGTTTGGTTCTCTGAGAACGTTACTGGAAAAAGGTCATAGCTTAAAAGTAGACAACCATGAATCCTGGTGAGAAAAGTTAGTGACTGCTGCTACCAGTAGTTACCCTCTCCCTAGCCTTGCTTGCCTGAAACAACAATAGCAATACCGCATTTGCTTTAGTACCAACTTAACAATAGTTTGACATGGGAACACAAAAGAGAGAATGAAAGGAAGAAAAACTGTAGTTTCGTCTACCTGCTTGTTCCAGTCCAAGAAACAGGTGAAAACAGAGAGAAGCAATGCCTGAACCACAGACCCTGCCACTATCCCAATCCAGAACCCATTCCCTTGTAAACGAGTCGCAAATCCAAGGGAGCATCCCAGTGGGAGCCCAACCAAGTAGAACGCTCCCAAGTTCATGTACACTCCTACTTTCTGCCACCCGCACCCTGTTGCTGTCCCTGGCATTCATGCAACAAGATGTTAGCTGCTGGTAATTCGTTCCAGTCGAATCTGTCGTCCAGCTCTACCATACCATGGCTTAGGGACTAGTTAAATTACCAGAGAGGACGCCTTGGAGGCTGTCCATGACGACGAAAACGCAGATGAGAGGAATGAGAGTCGACATATGGCTCACCACTTGTGGGTCGCTGCTGAAAGCGTAACCCACAACATGTCTTGCGCAGAACAGAGCTATGCTGACGATGGATGCTTCCACTACTGCAATGGACACTGCTACAACTACTGCTAGCCTCGCCGATCTCGGGTTCCCTGCTCCCAGCTCATTCGCCACCCGAGTACTAAATGTATATCAGATCAAAGCATCAATCATGTTTGAATTTATGATATGATCATTTCGAGAGTTGGATTGGAAAGATTTTACCTTACTGCAACTCCTAACCCCAGAGGGATTGTCAAGTGCAATGTTGTGATGGTAAGGCTGTTAAATTCATCCATACAACGAACATAAGATACTACGTTAGCGTTGATTGTGAACCATTCATAGCAAAAAATTATACTACAATGAAGTTCTGTAGAAAGAAAAATCAACATGCATGATTCGGTGCTAAATCAAGTTCGAAATCAAATTTATCTCGAATAAACTCGATTCAAATATCAGTTTTATCCGATACGACATATTCTAGATGTCAACCAACTAATCCTAATATAAAAAATCAGGCACTATGTACCTCACAGAGAGCACGGATGTCTCTAACCGGGGATCGGGCAGATGGCCGGAAAGCAGAGTCAATATTTCCATCGACCACCATTTCAGACTGTAAATCATATCCCAAAGAAAACACGTCAGCAAAGAAGCCAATCAACAGACAACAATCAGTGCTGACATAACCACATATTAAACGCCAACCTACCAGACCATAACAGCTGCAGGGACGCCGAGCTGGAAGAACTCCGGGATGCCACGTAACGCACCCCACGTGAACGGCGCACGTGTCTCCTTAAACTTGGCCGAATACTTCACGTACAGCCCCAGCGCCGCCGCGTTCAGCCACGTGGCCAGCCCGAACGCCACCGCCACGCTGACGTCCCCCATCCCGACTTTGTACGCCAGGATCCAGCTCATCAGCACGTGCAGCCCAAACGCCGCGGCCGACGTCAGCAGCATGGGCACCACCACGCTCTGGGCCTGCAGGAACCGCGTCAGGGGCCCCACCACCGCCGTCCCGACCAGGGCCGGGATGGACCAGAGCGAGAAGTCGCGGGCCCGCTGCGAGACCACCGGGTCCTGGCCCGTGAGCCGGAGCAGGTGGGCCGTGAAGGCCCAAAGCAGGCAGATGGGCGGGCAGACCAGGACCAGGGAGATGACGCCGCTGTAGGTGTAGGTCCCGAGCTTCGGGTACTGGCCTGCCCCGTAGGCCTGCCCGCAGAGAGTGGACAGCCCGCCGGTCATCCCGTACAGGACGCTGAACCCGGTGACGTTGGTCAGCGCGGTGGCGATCGCCACCGTGGTCAGCGCCAGCTGGCTGATGTGGCCGACGATGACCATGGACACCGTCTGCTGCAAGTACTGTAACGCCCCCACGAGGATCATCGGCGCCGCTATTCGGCCCAGCATCTTCAGCTCGGCGATGTAATCCGACCACGACGTCGTGTCCAAGTTGTTGTTGTTGTTGTTTTCCGCCCCTTCGTCGCCCATTTTCCGACTGCCGGTAAGTGATGAACCGAGATTTTGCAAGACGGCTAAATAGGCAAACGAGATTGTTGATTTCGTTATTAGTGTAATTGGTTCATATTTTCTTCCTTAATGAGAACAGATATGCAACCCAGTAGCTGAAGATCAGTTGATTGGACTGCCTGATTCATGCCGATTTTCGTGAAGCAAATTTCATGCTTTAATTTGTTCTTGATTATAAAATTTTCCCAATTTAATCAAGAATTCGGATGCTAAAATTGGTTGGCCAGCCCACCAACTCTTTTTTGGGCCTGTCTACTCTGGACTGTGACAGGAATTTGGTTTTTGTGGTGAAGAGCATGCAACTATTTGCTACAAGTTCCACGCTGTTTTCTTTTGGAACAACCAGTTCTAATTTGGAAAATTGGTGAGCAGTGGAGTGTTACCAGAAATATATATAATCAATATTATCCAGAAAATAATTGACAGTTGAAATATAACAATGATATCTCAGTATATCACACTAGTCTTTGTTGTATCATCCAACTGTTTCCTTGCATGTGCAGGACCATGCTGGCTCCCTACCAACAATACCTATATAAATGCATTACCTGTCACAGATCAAGGACAGAGGCAGAGAGAGTGAGAGCACACAAATACCATATCCTCCTTGCCTTTGAACAAGAATCCATCTATCTACCTTGAGTTACCAACCATTACACCAAATCATCATTTGCTGACAATCCTTTCAACTACTAGAGTTAATTATCCCGGCACAAGAAGAAAGAAATACTATGGCGATAAGTTCATCTGTCCATCTCCACACTTCCCTTCCTCTGGCTCCTCCACAGTCACAGTTAATCTCGTCCCCTACTTATTGCTTTTCCTTTTACTGTTCTTCGATTATGTGTTGGCTTTTATAATGTTCACTTCTTCTTTTTCTCCCCACATTCACAGATTCAGGGAATTTGTTACTTTGGTCCCCGCTAGAAAAGCTTCCAGATCAGCTGCCACTGTAACTAGAGCCTCTTTGACTTCTGGAGATGGCTCCATTCGACAGCTCAAGCTAACTTCCACAAAGAGTAGTAAAAGTTTCTTCTCCAGCACTAACAATGACCTTGATTCGTACAATCACCATGATCTCGATCTTCCTACTCATGGGTTCAATTCCATCGAGGAGGCCGTGGAGGACATCCGCCAGGGCAAGGTTAGTACTAATTACCATTCATAAACAATCTTCAACATGGTATCAGAGGCTTCAAATAAAAGAAACTGGTAACTCCAATCCTTATAACAACTGTTGAATTGAACAAAGTAACAAGTGAACATGGTTGCAGATGGTAATTGTGGTGGATGATGAAGGGAGGGAGAACGAAGGAGACCTAATAATGGCGGCATCAAAGGCCACCCCTGAAGCTCTGGCTTTCATCGTCAAGCACGGCACTGGGATCGTCTGCGTCAGCATGAAGGAAGACGATCTGGAGAGGCTGGAATTGCCATTGATGGTACCACCAAAGCTCAACAAGGAAATCCTCTGCACCTCGTTCACCATCACAGTGGTATGTATGTATGTTGTACTTAATTAACGTTGTTCTAGTGGTTTCCTTATTGCTAGAATGTTAAGTCACTTGCTGTTGTCGTCGTTTTGGAAGGATGCCAAACATGGAACGACAACGGGTGTATCAGCTGAAGACAGGGCAACCACGATCCTGGCACTTGCCTCGGAGAAGTCGACGCCTGAAGACTTCAATCGGCCAGGTCACATCTTCCCGCTCAAGTATACCAAGAGAGGGGTGCTAGCTAGACCGGGCCACACGGAGGCTTCTGCTGATCTGGCAATCCTAGCTGGACTCGAACCTGTGGCGGTGCTGAGTGAGATTGTGGATGATGATGGCTCCATGGCTAGATTGCCGAGGTTGAAAGAGTTTGCCAAAGAACATGACTTGAAGATTGTTTCCATCATTGATATGATCAGGTAATTCGATTTATTGGTCTTTGCAACTTTTTAGAAACCTGCGGATTCGACCGTTCGAATTTAAAAAATTAATATATGTTATCGTGTTTCTACGATCGATTCTGTAAGAGCATCAAATTAACTTTGTGCTTTGATTATGTTGCAGATATTTGAAGAAAAGAGAAGAAACTGTGAAGCTGAGTGCGGCTGCAAGGATGCCCACCACAATGGGGAACTTCAAAATACATTGCTACGAGTCACTATTGGATGGGGTTGAGCACATTGCTATGGTGAAAGTAAGAAAGTTTTAATTTACTTTGGTTGTGATTATTAATACCTTTTATTAATATGATCATCATAGGGCATTTTATTTTGTATCATTATAGACAACAATGTGATTAACATGCTCTGACAAGCTCATCATATGTATATGAATTAAGGGTGAAATTGGAGACGGGAAAAATGTGCTAGTAAGGATACAGCCCGAGTGCCTTGCTGGCGACATATTTGGGTCTGCAATATGCGGGTGTGGAAGTCATCTTGAGCATGCCATGAGGCAAATTGAGGAAGCCGAGCAAGGAGTATTGGTGTACCTCCGCGGCGACAAAGGAAAAGAGAATAGCTTCGGGTTCAAGTTTCCTACTAACTATGATATCCAAAACCACGGAGGAGACAACATTGACGATAAGGAGTACGCCGTCGTAGCACAGGTAAACCCTTAACTGACAAAGTTGTTTTTTATCCGTTTAGTCTCCCATGATATCGAGACATCACTAATACGACATTATACGAATCTCATATCTCCTCCACAATCTCTCTAATTGTCCCTAACTTATGTGTGGTGCCGAATTTGGAACTGCTGCTATACAATTGCAGATACTCAAGGATTTGGGGGTTAACACAATCAAGCTGATATCAAACAAGGCTGCAAATGACCATAAGGGGCTTGAAGAGTATGGCCTCTCCATTGCTGAAACGGTGCCGTTGGTGACTCCAATCGACAAGTACAACGAGAGTTACATGGAAGCAAAACTGAAAAAGCTGGGACTCACTGTAGTTTGATGAAGGTCGAGGAGGACAAAAGGAGTTATTATGCCTATAATGGGCTGGGCTGGGCTGATTTACTATTATGTTGCTTTTTGGTCTACTCTTGGTGGGCCATTTTTCGAGTTTGTTTTGGCAAATAAGTTATCTTCTCACTGGGGAGTTGATCCATTCCTTACAAATACAAAGGCCCAATGTATATGGGCCTAGAAGATTGGACTTTCAAGCCCATCGGATTATCTGAAATAAATGTCATCAGAGTTTTGGGCTCTTTTTCCACGTGTTTTCTTTTCCGTTTCTTTGGCTGGTCAACTGAAGTACAACATGGAGTTTGATATGCAGCGTGATAGGGTCAGGCCCTCCCTTTTTGAAGGTCGTTACCTGGCAGCGGCTGGCCATCGGAGACCTACACTTGAGGATTTGCAGAAAGAGCTTTTCACGTTTATATGAATGCCTTTTCCACAGACTGTTAGATTGATTAATGCAGCATGACGTGACAAATTAGAGGCAAAGCTTAAGCCATCAACATCATAATCTTTGGTCAATGAACATCTTAACAGCAATAAGTTACTATTAAGGTAAAAAATGGTTTTTTGGCAGCGGATTTCCGGTTCGTCTGAAATGCCCTTTTCATTATTTCGGAGCTTAATAATTACTATACGGGTTTGTGAATATGGGTCATAACTCATAACGAACCTAACTACGTTACTCTTTTAGATGAATCATATTCACAATGGAGCCGGCCAACGTCCAAAGTTTAAGCTTCTAGATTCAAAGGATTTCCGGTTTGGGTTTTTCTTTGACATTTTCCCAAAGTTTTAAGCGTTTAGATTCAAAGGATATATTGATACAAAATCTCAAACACTATTCGATTTTATGTATCCCACATTTGTACTTGTTATGTCTGGCTAGTAAGTTCTTAGGTTTGTGATCCAATTTCGTTTCGAATTGCTTCATTGCCGAATCGTTGTCGTCCTTCCCCTGATGATTCATATATCCATTCTTTTTCATAGCTTTCAAATGTATGAACTATGACGACGATGCACAGATCGGGGCAATCGACAATAACAAGAAAGATAACAATGAGCAAGAAAGTAAAAGAGCACTGTGATTTACGTGGTTTCACTAACACAACGTGTCAGCCAATCCACATGCAGGGAAGAGCCGCGGTTTCACTATATTTAAGGTTATTACAAATTATAAAGCAGTATGATAAAATATTTATTGTACTTCTCTAATATAACCTAACCCTAATCCAATGGGATAAAGAATTAGATTATATAACAGGTGGAACAGTTCATTCCATTCATATCAACAATATGACTTCAATTTTTGGATATGCTGGTTTTCCTTCCATGATTATGCTTTAGATCGATCATATTGGGCGTTTGTGGTCATCTCCCTCTACCAATCGCTCGGCTTGTGCTCGTTTGGATGTATTTACTCTATCGTTAGAATCGAATAAATCAAATTATGTGAATGTTGTTAAGCACACTGCAGCCCTAAGTATGTATATGTATGTCCACCCTGTCATGTCAACTGTTTAGAGGGGGATGCATGGTATATCCTTATATAAAGCCTCTCTCTCTCTCTAGATATATATTACTTACTGAGGATGAATCTGCGGCCAGCGTGAAAATAGTACTAGTACTGTAGCCGCATGCATGCATATGCATTTCGTCGGTTTCCTGGATCGCAAACTCGAGAGAAGAGAAAAGGGAAACAAGAGCAGCTAGCTAGCTAGGTCGAATTATCATCATCACAAACCCCAGGAAACGTGCAGAAAGAGAGGGAAATCTTCCCCAGTTCATAAAAGTGGTCTTACCCTAGCTTTAATACCCTTTCTTGCAAAAAAAAAGGACGATCCTTCATTAGCAGTAATCACCTGTTAAGCAAAAGTTCATGATGGATAATAATAATAATGTTGCACTAGCTAGCTATTCATTGCCATATCTGTCATTCCACGTTACCTATGTATGAATGCAGAGGCAGGCAACGGGCCTGCTTAATTTTAACTAGGCGAGTA